TTGATGCAAAAACGCATGATCGCACCGGCTCGCCTGGTGCGTTCCAGCCTGGGTTTTTTTTTTTCAGCTGAATAATTTTTATGCACTTTGGCATCTTTATGCAAATGCAAAAATAGATGTTGTCGAGACGTTGTTGGTGTATATATGTGTTGGGGTTTTTGTCGCTCACATCCAACTCAGCAAATCTTAAAATCGCATAGGCATAGAATAAGCTCTAGCGTGCGCCTGCTTAATTGGTTCAGGCGTGTAAAAGATATATGTGGTAAAAGCGATTTCGCCAACCAATTAAGCTAGGAAGTGGAAACTTTACGAGGTTTTTCTGTGACAATATACTGCATAAATACAAATTTAACTCTAGAGCGCGTTAATTCTTGCCTGTGTGTGAATATTTTGTTCAGGGCACTGTTAGTATAATTGGTTACCAGAAAGAGCAGGAAACGGCATGTTTCTGAGGATGTTTGTTGTTCACGCTTGGGCGAACAAGCATGTGATAAGTTGCTACCTAGGCATGGGCCTTTTTTACGGGCCCATCAAATGTTCATACTGTTTGAGGCCCATCAAAAGTTCAGCACCACAGCCTCTCCCCCTCCTCCCCTTTAAAAATACAAGCGATCTCTGTACGGGATGAGATCATGCAAAAGCGCATGGACGTCCAGGGGAACCTAGTGCGCAGCTACCAGGATTTTTCCACTGCAAGTGAAGAGCTCAGATCAGTGTACTTGGGAAAACTGTTCTGCTTACACATGAAGGCGGTGGCTGATCTTTTTCCTAGGATACATAGCGATCAGGCAAAATGACTGTTTCGATGACTTCGGCATCAGAGATGCGCAGACTGTGAATCTGGTTGTTGTCAGAGTGCCGATGCACGGGTAAGTGTGTAATTGTCACGCAAGTTGCGCCACGACAGCGCCAAAGGATAGGCGGAGGATCAGTTCAAATCGACCTGCATTCAAACTGAAGTACGCGGTTGCACAGTACTAAGTAAAGTATATTCGTCAGTTTAATATAGTTCCCTTTGCCAGCTTAATATAGTTTTACAGTTTTTTCTTGGATCGGTGTAAGGATGTTTTTGGCAATTATTTTTCTCCAGTCGATGCTGAGAAGAGAATTGCCGAGACGAACAGATATTTCGGTGGTAATGGCCGCCGATTTCAGGTACGTCTCTCACTCAAGAAATGCCGTTAATGAGTGAATACTGCGCGCCGGTGTCGCCAAATAACTCCTGCATTTCACGTTCTGGGACTCAATTTACATATAAATTAGAAAGGATAACCTTTAGCTGGTTATGTCAAACCCGTGCGAAACCATTTACAAATTTTGAAACCTGATCGAAAATGATTCGAACTGCACAATACGCAGTGTTTTTAATAAAGCAGTGTGTTTGTGTTGCAAAATATCAAATTAGGCACAATTGCTTTTTGAGCTAAACTTCTGAGGTCTGCGTTTCTGCAATTTGCACACATCAGAATTTTAGCTTTAGCTGTAAATTAAGACTCCAGGCTGTTATAAATGAAAAAAAGTAACACTACTGAGATGCACAGAATCAGTTGTGCATGGAGCGATCAAACATTCGAAACTATTTATACTAGACATTAAAAGCTGTAGGTCACTCGCCCGAAAAACTGCTGAAAAAATCACACTTTTGTAAAATCCTAGCTGCGCGTCAAATGACTCATACGCATTTATTGTGAAGTGATATGAAAACAGCACATAAAAAAAAAAAAAAAAAAACGCTGAATGAAATAATTGGCAGGAATATTGCAGGCAACCGACATTATCTTGCCTAATGGATCCGACGATCCATGGACACTACTTGGCGTTCACAATGTCACCAATCCAAATGGCAATGATGTTATTCTCATTGAAGGTATGCAGAGTTTAGTATTTGGGCATTCCGTGCCGCATCTGCTAAAAACCTAGTTGCCGCTCGTATCAGGTTTGCAGGTGCGATCATTTATATCCTGGTTTTTGCCTGATTTTGTCCTGTTAAAATTCCTTGGTTCGGTCCCAGACATTTGTAAAGTGATAGACCATAGCCATTGTGTGTAGTATGAAATAAACCATTGGAAGTTTAAAATGCCCACCTTATCAGCGAACGAAAAAAATGACTGCAGTGTTCTTATTTAAAAATTTCAAGCGCCTGTATGCTGGACACATGCGTAAGCAAAACCTCATTTTGGGCTTACTGGCTCGCACATGAGCAGCAAACACCTTCAGAAAAATACTGCTTGTTGCTCATTCCGGCACTGAGTTACTTCTTTGTCAGCAGCGTCTCAAACTGAATCAAATTTTCACTTACGCTCGCGCGAGACCTCGGCTGCCTTAAAATTGAATATGAAACATACTGGTCACGCATTTTCATAGAATATCTTTGTAAAATTTGTTCTCGAAATCTGTCCTGTTTGTTCTCGAAAACACTTCTCCGCTAAAAAATTTGCATGTTTTCTTAGGTGTCCGAATGTAGATACTCAGGCGCACCTAAACATTGATTTTGGGCTATCTGGATGGCACACGAGCTTATGAATTCTTTTTTCCTAGCTCCCGTGTTTTCTGTGGATGAAAAAATTCAAAATACAACCTCTGGGCAACGCGTCCTCGCATTTGCCTAAAGATATAAAAACCATAATATTGTCACTGAGTATCAAATTTTTCTCTCAAGCAATAAACATTGCCTCTTTAAATTACTAGGTTTTCCTTTTTGCACGTTATTATGCGTTTTTCCATATATGCAAACTGCAGAAACGCATATTGGGAAGAGGCTGTCTGTGTGAGTGTGTGTCTGTGTTCGCGCTTTTTGTCGCCCACTTTCTACTCGAGAACCAGAAAAGCTAGAACGCTGAAACTTTGGGGATATGTGCCCATACCATGTGCGACCCTTCCGTTTTAATTTCATCTTGTTGGACGCCTGGGTGCCGTGTGCGGACGCTTTAAAAAAGTATGCAAATTTTTTGGCAGGAAAGCGATCTCGGGAACCACACGAGCTGAGGGGCTGAAACTTTGTAGAGATATTCGCTGTGCATGTGCTAGCTAAAGATTTCAAACTCAGCCCCAAGTGGTAATCATGTAAAAGCGTATGAAAGTTTTAGGCGGAAAATTGCTAACTCGAGTACCAGGAAAGCTAGAAAGCTGAAATTTAGGGAGAATGTTCCCTATCAAAGTACAACTTATGCATTTCAAATTCAGCTTTTCAAGCACGTGGAGTACCCAAATACGGGTATGTAAAGGTTTTGTTGGGAAAATTGGTAACTCGATAACCAGAAAAGCTGGAAAGCTGAAATTTTGAGGGAATGTTCTCTGTCCAAGTACAATTTAAGCATTTCAAATTCAGCCTTCAGGTATGGGTGGTTCTTACGTACGGGCACTTAAAAGCCTCGACGAAGAAATTTCTCACTGAACAACTAGATTACTTTTAAAGGACGACTGTTAGATGGAAATTGTACATTTACTTTGCAAAATTTATGGTGTTTTATGCTAGTGACGGCAAAAGGCAGGTGTAAAGCAACAGCCATTCATACAGTTAATGACCTGAGTAATTCAAGTCTGGTG